AGAGACAGGTCGAAGCAGACATTGCTGCATGTCGTCGAGACATGGTGGATATCCACCACCTGCATCGTCACTGCATTCGTTGTTGTCGACTCCCATGGTTGGACCCCAAGCGATGGAGTGAAGTTCATCAATCTTTTCTAACTTGTATTGGAGCGAGTAGGGGCTCGCAACCTCCCACTTGCAGACTGTGTCACAGCAATTTGCAAGGAGTCGCGAATGTGGCTCCCACGAAATATCCGGATCAGGATAGCCGAGCCATTACACAAGGAGCTGTAACTCACCACGGTGTCGGCTGCCGCCACTATCTTTTCCACATGAAAGTTGGCAACCCCGTCACAGTCTACCACCGACAATGTGGCTTCGCTTCATATATTTTGTTTTATTACATGTAATAGATTAGATAACATTATGTATTACTTTAAAAAGTGAGGAAGCCTCGGTGGTCGAACAGTCGATAGCGGTGTCGTCGGCGGTGTTTTAGTCGACGCTATAGTTGCAGATGAGGGATGCAACGATGCGTCTGGACGAGGTAGTAGCATTATTGGATGCAAATGCGAACGCGATCACACAGATGGATCATCAAAATTCGAAGGCGGCGGAATAACCGTGCCACATGGGTGTATACGTTCACGCAGCAATGTTTGCTCTGTGGACAGAAATCGCTCGGCTCCAAGCGGAGAAGTTCATCATCTTCCTAGTGCTTTGGCACATAGTCATTCGACTCTTGAATTTCAATGACGCGTTCGTCTTCGTTCACGATCTCCGTTACGAACTACGATCAACCTTGTTCGTACAATTCGTACGATAAGACAAAGCGCTAAGGTATGGCTTTAGCGCACCGATATATAACGTTCGATGGATACGGATCCAGCTTGGTAAGCCCAATGTATATGCATTTCCGGCACAATTCAAGGCCTTGACGAGACCGACGTATTGGGGAAGGGTATCGGAAGACTTTAGACTAGAGACGGCAGCGTCAGCCATGTTCTTGGTACCGACTACTTTCCTCGAACACATGCACACAGTCTTCATGCTCTTAAAAATTCTGTGATCTAGACTTACATTCCTCACCTTGTGCCTACGATTTACCTTGGTAGCATTTCCATCAACCAACGCCAGCTCATTTTGTGCTGCTGTGTCCGACCGCGAATTCGACTCCTATTTGTCAAGCAGAAACTGATGGCTGATGTGAAGAGCGAAAATATCATGTCAAAAGATGGATGATATACCGTTGATCGCTGCAATACTGGAAAGGAGACTCAGACTCCAAAGAGGATCTCTCATCGTCTTACTGTCCTTCAAAAACTGTAATAATTTTAACGCCACGGCAATTTTATAGACATATATACATACGCTTTGTTCCGATATGTCCGTAGACACGCTGCGAGAACTCACGAACTATTCATTGCGATGATTTTGCGCTCTGCGAGATGAAATTTAAGGACAATGAGAATCGTAAGAAAAAAACATCTCGTGTTATTGGCATACGTTGTATGGCAAGAGTACGGCCTATCAATATTTCGCGGGGTTGAATAATATGAGCTTACATTTATCGGGATAAGAGATGTGAGCATTGCGCGTAGCAAAAGACCGGTACAGCTTAAACCCATCGGAAAAGCTTTGTGAGCGATGCTGAATATGCGTTTAGGTGAGTGGATGAGAGAAAACTCTGTATGATGATTTGACATTATGTGAGTATTAGGAAGGAAAGGTTTATGATGTCTTAGACCTTTCAGTGCGTGATGAAAAAGAAAAGGTCAAGCCATTTTCATATTTTTGATGACAATAATGCGTAAGATTGATCGTCAGCGGATATATCATTTCTACATCTGAAGACTTTCAACAGTCAGAACAGAACTTTATTTTTGCAACCAAGTCTGAATGGTTCTTGTCGACGTTTAGCACGAACGTCCGAATTGCAGCTTTTAATGGTCAAGTTGCGAATGAATCGAAATCAATGCTAATTTTTATCTAAGGTTTTAATTGTCGAGCGTTGCTCAGACTCCTAAGCTCGCCCGATAATTCCGAAATATTGCTAGAAAAGCCGTTATATACGTAGAAATAGCTAGTAGCGTTGCGTATACAAAAAATCAACCGAATCCGCATTACAATTTATGCATACAAGCGTCAAAGGCAAGACAGATTTATCACAACTGTAAGCTGAATTTTGACGTCGATTTAGTTTCAAGCGAATCACTTGCAAAGTTCTCCGCGGAAGGCGATAATTGAATCTTTACGGTACATTGAATCGGATGCAGCTGATTTACGTATATTAAATACGCACTTCTGCACTGCTCGCATATTGAGCTCAGTTTCAATGTAGATGCCAGCGGTCGACAGAATTCGCACAATCATGTAGTGGGCCAAAGGGCTCGATCAAACTCTGCAAATGGATCTATCCTCTGTTATAAAACTACAACTGCAAAAATCCTCGTATGAAAAATCAAATTTGCGACCTCGCTACGTTGAACTGATTGCAACCGTACCTTGAAAAGGTCCGACTTGCAATATTAAAGAAAGT